ATACACACTCAATGTTATTTTGATGCATGCTCTAAGGTCGTAAGTATACATATACAAGATGGTTAAGATGGAAGCATTTTGATAGATGATGGTAAAAATGACCTTCTGTATATTTCGGTTTGTTACAGATCAGAAGCCTAGGTCTTTTACTTCTGACTGATGTTTCTATTTGAGGGAACAAGGGATGTTTGTTGTCTAAAAAGATGGAATTAATTTTGTTAGTGCAAGCTGTTATGTACAATTCATCCAAGTAGGGGAATGTACATGTTGAAATTTTACATGCTTTCCGTATTAGTCGATTTAATTTTTTTTTTATCTTGTTGTCCTGTGTTCCCGGCCCATGCTGTTATACAAAAGTTGATTATACTTTCTATGGTTGAATGTTAGAACATGGACATCAATGTTTTATCAATTTTAAAATACTTTAGCTTCCTTAGAAAAAAAGTCTTTTGTTCACTTTTTTATGCAGGAGAGTAGTGTGGACACTACATTTGAGTTTGTTGTCTATTATAACACCCAAATACTGATAGTCTGACACTTGCTCGATGTTTTCACATTTAATTTCGAGTGGCTGCAGGGGCAATCTTTATTCTAAAATCAACAACAAGTTCTTTTGGGGGGTTTTCCCATTTAAAAGCAGCTTCTGATTTTCACACCATTCAGAAAATGTTATGTGAATGTAGTTGCGGGCACGGTACAGAATCTGAAAAAAAAATATTAAAGGTTCTTTTGAGTAGCACTATCTCAGTCAATGATTCAAGCCAGTGCTTAATTCATCCTGCCTGTGTACACGTTGTAACTTCAGCTTCATGCAGGGTAATATTAAGAGGCCCACTTTAAGATCGCTTCTCAACCTTGAGGTTCGGGTACATCGCCTTATGGGTACCAGTTTATCTTCTTCCGTGTCATCCTCGCGTGTCGTGTGTAAACGTGTGTGGCAGACGCGTGCATACAAGTGAGAGAGAGAGAGAGAGAGGGAGAGAGCGAGAGAGAAAGAGAGAAGGAGAGAGAGAAAGAAAGAGAGAGAGAGAGAGAGAGAGAGAGAGAGAGAGAGAGAGAGAGAGAGTCATCCAGTGTACAACTGACCAACATGTGGAAGGGAACGTACGAAAAAAATGACTATTTGCGTGTGACCAGAAGAAAGCAGTACTTGAATAATATTAAGGACAGGAAATTACGTAGAAGGTTGGAAAGGGGCCGGGGTGTGTGGGAGGGGAATTAATGAGAGAAAAACATTAACAGACTGGGCATTTGGGAAGGAGAAAAGGTGTGTTTGGGGGGGGGGGGGGTAAGTACTTTGCCCCATTCTTTGATTGATTATGTAAATAACCTCCAGTTATCTGATTGACATCGATTATTGTCAGTGACA